TCTTTTCCGTAAAAAATTCACTTTAATTAACCAAACAAATAATTTTCTGTTAAATAGAAAAAAAAAAAAATCAAATTATCCTCAGAATTATCTAAAACGAAAAACAATCGCATAAACTCTTTACAAAAACTGTGAAGTGTCTCTGGTTTTTCCACCTTTTCTCCGTCAGCTGTTTTTTCCAAGCAGAAATCCATGGCGAACACTATCCCATAGCCCCAATCAGCAAAAAGGCGCTACCTTTATGCCAAGAACAAATGGAATCTTGCGCACGACGTCGTTTATCTCTCCTTTATTCACATATCAACCCACCTTCAGAACCCACAACGCTGCCCGCTCGTCTTGTTGCTTCAGCTTGCGCTGCGGATGCCAATGGAGGTCACGCAGTGGAAAGGAGGCACGGTGATTGTGTATTTTGCAAGATTATTCGCGGCGAAGCTCCTGCTCTCAAGGTACATTTTTTAATCTATCCCTTTTCTTCTTCTTGTAATTTTTTTTTTACTTGTTTTGCTTTCTCTGTAATTTGATGGTGCCAATTTCGTGTGCTTGAATGGGTAAATTTATTTTCCTGATTAGAAGCTGAAAAACAGTTTATTTTTTTCGTTTTGGGTAATTTGAATGGGTTTGTGTGTTTTATGTCATTTCAGTAGATTAATTTTGACCAAAGTGTGTATCAGTGTATTAGTGTATAGAAAGTGATGGTGTCTCGAGGGCAGGGCTCTAATGGGGTGTGTTTGATTATTTGGTTCTTGGTTTAGTCAAAGTGTAGATAAATTAATTTCTCACCCCTTTTAAAAGAATGTAATTTTTGATATGTCTAAAATAGAATGTGAGAGGTGCTGCGAAGGTATTGTCTTTTCTTCCATAAAACCGTCGACCGTAAACGTAAAGAAAGTGAAAGATTTTGATGTCTGTTTAACCCGTTTTGGTCTGTAATTCTGAAGATTTATGAATATGCATCCGATAGATTCAAGAGATTGATGATTCGAAGAAGTTCGAAAAGGAATTGAAACTCGTGTATGATCTGGTCTACATGACCGGGAGTTGACTGTTTTGTTATGGCGAAGAATAGAAGCAGACTCTCTATACTATGAATAAATATGCCTGACTGTTAGTTCAATATTGAACAACTTTTATGCTTTGTGATGTTTGCCACTCCTTTTTTCTTAAATCTTGTATGAGTGTTATCCATACATGCTTATGGTGTTTGATGTTTGGAGTTAAGTTGTTTTTTGTTACAGTTATACGAAGATGATGAGTGCCTGTGCATTTTGGATTCTTATCCTTTATGTTATGGGTAAGGTATCATCTCTTGAAACACATTATTCTTTTCTCCCGTCTTAAATTATTACACGCATGCACTGAAACTTCAGTTTACGTTAAAAAAGGTCTCAAAATAATTGAATGAAAACGTGACTATAGATATTTGCTCATGTGTTTTTTTGTTTCATTCGTCTAATTTTATTGAGTTATGCACTACCGAGAACACTAATCCACTCAATTTTTTTGTAGGCATTCTCTCATTATTCCAAAGTGTCATTTCCCTTCACTGGATGCAACTCCTCCATCAGTAAGTTGTTCCCATAATCAATTCTATCATCTAGCTCGATTGTCCAATCCTTCATAATATGGGATGACATTCGTTATTGTTTTTCTTTTACATTCAGAAGCAGGCATTGTTCTTGACTTGTTCTGATCAATTTTTTTTTTTTTTTTCCTTCTATCTTAAAAAACAAAAGCCGGCAAATTTAACTATTTCATTTGTTCTAGCTGAGGTAGTTCATTGATTAAAGCTGATCTTTTTAATTCTTACCTAGCATTACATTCCGTTTTTACCTTGGCTTGGTTGTTGGAGAACAATGAATCTTGGACCTTATTGAGAATGAACCATACATTGAACATAATGGCATAATTTTGCATGCTGATGATTGCCGAAATACCGTTTTATTTCTCACGCTGAAGCAAAATGTTGCAGATTATTGGGGCTATGTGTTCAAAAGTGCCCTTAATTAGCAATGCAGTCATGAAAGCTACTGGCTGTGGTAAGGTTATAAATAAAGTTGTACTTTATTCTTGCTGTTATGAATATTTGTAAATTCCGTTTCACTGATTTCTTCTTCGGTAATTTTTTTTTTTTTTTCTTTTGTTTTGGTTCTTTCTTTTGTTGACCATTATTTTCCTGTTGATAGCTGGGAGTTCCAATATTTCTGAATTTTATGTTTGCAACTTTGGCTCTCGAGTAGAGTTTATTTGAGCATGTGATTTAGAACCTTGGCCATATCACATAACCAGTAAATGTATCAAAATCGAAACTTAAAAATCTGATTCATGATATATAGTTATCATTGATCTTGTATAGTGTTTAAATGATCAGAAAACCTAACTACACAACATAAAAGCCTTCTACTTCACCAAATTTACTCTTAACGTTTAAACATATCTCGAGTCGTTATTTGCAGATTCATTCAACTTGCTAGTCAACAACGGTGCAGCTGCAGGTCAAGTCATATATCACGTAAAGTTTTCAAATTATGTTTCGACCCCTTCATTTTAACTTTTTAACTTTCCCTGCAATGAATTGACAGTTTTTCGTACTTTTATATTTCATCGCATGTATACAGACCCACATCCACATAATCCCCCGTAAAGCACACGATTGCCTATGGACTTCTGAGGTACATTCTATTTTTTTTTTTTTTCTTTTTTACTTTCCTTGTCCCATGGATATGATTAAAAGCTGAGCAGAATTAATAACGAGCGAAAAAAATCAGCAGTCTTTACTAAGGCGCCCTTTGAAGCTTGATCAAGAGGCTTCACAGCTTGTTAATCGGATTCGTGAGAGCTTGGTGTTTGTCGAGAACTATCAAGATAGCAAAGGTACTCAAGCATCGAGTCTTGTCGAGAATTAGGTAGATTCTTCGATTTCTGTTTGTACTTTTTTTTTTTTGTACAATATGTAAATTTTTATGAGGTTGATGGGATAAAATTCCAGGTTTTGAATGGAAATTTGAAAATGTGTTGTATCAATGATAATTGTGAAGCTTTGTTGGAGTATCACTTATTTTTTTTGTAATCAAAATGTTATCATTATTTTAAATCAGGCAAAATTTCAAAATTGGTCTTATAACTTGGCCGCAGTCTAAAAAATCACCCCTATATTGACCACTTTCAATTTAGGTCTTATAATTTGTCGATTTCATCAATTTTGGTCCTTTTTATTTGGACCCTGGATTAAAAAGTGATGCGGCATGACGTGTCGGTTTTTTAAGGTTACATGGCGTGATTATGATCTACGTGGCACGTCAATTTTGGTCCTATAATTTGTCGATTTCATCAATTTTTGTCCTTTTTTCATGCCACGTCACTTTTTAATCCAAGGTACGGATAAAAAAGGACCAAAATTGATGAAATCGACAAATTATAGGATCTAATTGAAAGTGGTCAATATAGGGGTGGTTTTTTGGACAATGGCCAAATTATAGGACCAATTTTGAATTTTTGCCTTTTAAATCATCTCAGACAATGTTGAAGATAACAATGAAGTTTAATTTAATTTAACTGTTGGTAAGTAAAATATTTTTTTAAATTAAAATAATTAATTTTACAAAAAAATAAAAAATAAACCCTCAAAATCTTCCTTATATATAATTCCCGAATGTGCTGAGCCTAAGTGGCAGGCTCGCATGTTTCGAGATCCTAGGTGTAAAAATTCCATGCTTTAGTATTTGGCTTGGATGAATTTTAATTTAATTCCAGTCCAAAAATAATTAGGTTCGGATTATCATAAATATGTTGATTTATTTATGATCATTTTAGATGTATTAATTATATTTTAATATTATTTCCTATTATAACTATTGAACTGTAAACGTGTTTGAAAAGTTGATAACTTCTGTATTTTTATTGGTTTTACATATATAACATATCAAATTAATCATTTTTTTATGAGCTTCGATTTGACATCCATATTGTAAATTATGTATTTATCTTTTAATAATAAAAAATATTTATTAAAACTAATTATAAAAATAAATTATTTCTCAATTAATATATTATGTTTAATGTAGTTATATGTTATAGATTAGAAAAATTATTATAATATAACACAGGTAAGTCGCACAAGTAACAAATGTCATACTAAAATATATAATAACATATATTTTTTACAAAAAATATTTAAATTTTCAGATACTTTTTTTATTAATTTTAAATTTAAAAAAAAAAATTAGCAAGCACCCGTGTAATACACGGGCGTTGTACTAGTAAATGAATATAAAGTTGCAAAATCAGTTAATTTTACATATTACACAACTAATTATTTATTAACACATTGCATAATCAATTAATCCGACTAACTAACCAAACTATTAATTAATGTTAAGTAAGCATCTATACTTATATTAAAGGCCATACCATTTACTTAAATTAGTATGTAGAAAAGTCAAAGCAATTAATGCTTTTCTATTTTTATCATTTGAATATTATATTTTATATTTATTTATTTCAAATCTAATCATTACTTAATGCTTTTAAATGCAGTTGAAACTTTTTTGGTGTTTGATTTTTAAATATGTGCATTTGGGAATCTTCCAAACTATTTTCATAAAAAAAAAATAGAAATCAGATTTTTTTGTTGTTAAAAGAAATCTCAAAAAAAATATAAATCTAATTTCTTAATTAGTTAATTTTTAAATCCGTGCATTTGGGAATCTTCCAAACTATTTTCATAAAAAAAATATAAATCAGATTTCTTTGTTGTTAAAAACAAATCTCAAAAAAATATAAATCTAATTTCTTAATCTGTACTTATATTAAAAGTTATACTATTTATTAATGTACTATGTAGAATAGTCAACCCTAATTAATGATTTGTTATTTTGATCAAATATTTAATTAATGTATCTAATATTTTTGGTATGCAAATCAAATTAGTATTTAATTAGCTCCTAAAATATTGGGTATGCAATATTAATTTAGGAATGGATTTAATTAATGATTTGCTATTTTTATCAAGCATTTAATTAGTGTATCGAATATTTTTGGTATGCAAATCAAATTAGTATTTAATTAGTTCCTAAAATATTGGGTATGCAATATTAATTTAGGAATATTCATGTAATTCCTAAAATGTTGGTATGCAATACGTAAAAGAAGATTTTTTAATTTTTTTAAATATAAAATATTGCAACACGTAAAACTATTCCAGTTATTTTTTGTTTTATTTTACATATAAAATCTAATCAATATTTAATGCATCCTACAAAATTGGATGGAAATAAAAAAGTACGTAAAAAATCTTTACTAAAATAAAAAAAGACTTTATTTATTATCTAATTGTATGGAAATCTGTTATGATTTTATGGTACGTACTACAAATTGTGCACCCGTGTTCAGGAGCTACTTAACGAGCAAGCTTTGTGAAAGTAACTCATTTAGTGCTTTTGTCTCGTGCGTACAGTATGTATTTGTATTTCACATACTATAAAGTTGTGCACTCCGTGCATCGCACGGACTCTATACTAATAAATGACCTAAAAATTGTGCACCTCGTGCATCACCCGTGTTCACATTTTGGCCTATTACAAGTCACGTACTATATATCCCGTACATTTTTCTTTATTCATTTATATAATTATAAGATTTGATAAATGACTTTTGTGCACCCCGTGCATCGCACGGGATCTGTACTAGTTGTAATAAAATAATATACAACTAATTCCACAACAAACATACCTGTTGACTCAGAAAATGAAATGGTCCTATCCATTATGAAAATCAACAACATAAAATGTATAAGCAAAATTAAATCAAAATAATTCAACAAATGAGTAATGAAGAAGATTATTATGGTCAACACGAGTCCACGTCATTATCCAGACTAATGCAAAATGCTACTTAATATTACTAATGTGAAATTAAGTTTGATTTGGTTTGCAAATTGTGGAGTATTAAGTTATTAACTATGAATAAAAAAAAAAAAAAAAACAATTTAATTTGATTACGCAAACCCTCTAATAGGGGTGCACAAACTTTGGTTAACCGATCGAAACCGAACGACCGAAACCGAGAACTTGATTTAGTTTTCGGTTTGTAATTTTTTAATATATGGTTTAAACGAAAATTGGGTCGATTCTGTTCCGACCGAATATGCATCCCTGGCTATCCAATAAACAAAAATATTTGTACCGAAAAAAAAAAAAATAAACAAAAAATATAATTTCCTAATTAATAATGTGGTCAAAACATTTTCCTAAGGCCCTAGCAAAAGTACAATCCAAAAAAAAAAAATAAATAAATAAATAAATAAATAAATTATCCAGGCAAAGAATTTCAATTTCATTTCATCTCATTTTCGCATTTTCCCTCGATTTCCAAAAGCCGTCGCCAAGATTTTTCAAATCTACGTCTTTTACATCTGCAAACATTCTTGGGCGTGTTCCATTTTGAGGGTTTATAGCTCGCGTGTGTGAACAGGTTCTATAGATACCGAGTGAGGAGAAGGGGGAGAGAGAATAGGGAGGGGGGAGAAGAGGAAAATGTCGCCAATAGCGGCGGCGGAGCAGGCCGAGCAACTCCGGCAAGACGGCAACACGTACTTCAAGAAGGATCGATTTGGGGCCGCCATTGATGCTTACACCGAGGTGGGTTTTCGTCCTCGGCCGGCGATTGGGTTTTGTACCGTTCTGTAACTCTGCTGAAAGGTTTTGATTTTCATTATCGTTTTCATCTCCCCTTCAGGCCATCTCGCTGTGCCCTAACATTCCGATATATTGGACGAATCGGGCTCTGTGCCATCGGAAACGGAAGTACGTACGATCACTTTATGCTTGCTGTGATGGTCTTGATTGTTGTGGTTTCTGGAGATTTTGTTTTTTATTTGCTCGTCGAGGGTTTCGCCTTAATTTAGGGTTTGTGCGGTTTTTTTGGTTTGTAGTGAATGGGCAAGAGTGGAGGAGGATTGCAAGAGGGCGATTCAGCTTGATCACCATTCTGTAAAGGTTTGGTATTTTGAATGTCATCATAATAAAGAACCCTATATTCTGTTTTTAGTAACTCCTGTTTTTATAGTTTCTTTTTTCTACCGCATAATGGTTATTGGGGTGTAGTGTGATTTCCTTCTCATTTTATCTTGATATACACACAAGAGTGAAACGCAATTCGTAGAGTCAGAAACATGTGCCAAACAGGTGTATTTGAAGAATACTGATGGTTTATGGTTAAGTAGCGTTTGTTCTCTAGTTTCCATTTCCATTTGTGTCATTAGAGAATTGCTTTTTCATCGAGTTTGATTAGTCCTAGCATATGCCACAGTTAGGAGTTTCTCTATGCGGGTACTTGCTTTTGGGCTGTTTGGGTGAAACGAGTAAGGTGGAGTATGGTTATCTTATCTGGTGCTATTCTGTTAATCTCCTGTGAGATGCTTCTGGAAGGGGACTATATCCTTCTTATCTGTGAGTCGGTTGATTCCTTTTACAGAGTGACATATCTCTGTGTAATTGGTAGTTTGAGTCATGTCAATGTGTTGTCAAATATGAGTTTTCAGTTGGATGATATACATGACTAGTCACCCTACTTGAAATTTTGCAACTTGCAATTAACGTAATTTGAGAATAAGTGTATATAATTCGAAGTCTCACTATCACAGTATAAATTTGAGTGTCAACCTCAATTGAGATATCTGATGGCTGTTAATATCTTTGACCTTTAAGATTAAATGATGTCATAAACCGTCACACCGTGTAAATCGTTGAAATTTATTTTTACTGGTCTGGGAAATTCTTATCTGCAAGATTTCCTGAAACTGAGGTATTGCGAACTTAAAAAAGTTAATGTTGCATTAGTTAAATATCAGTTTTGGCTTTCTGAATAAAAGAGAAGTGAGCCTGAGTTTTTGGAAATTAGTCTTATGTAAACTTATATTGATACATTTGAAAATGGCTAACATACTTTAGCTCCAACGGAACCACAGTAATATATAGCAAATGCTGGACTACTGGACTAACCAGTCCAGTAAATCGTAATTTATACCTAGAATATTTCTAATGAATGAGGGTTGCATTTGCGGTTTCAAACAATATCTTTACTTTCAAATTAAATATTGTTGTTATCTCTATGTGTTAGCTTCTGTAATGTATTGGTCATATCTGATACAGATACTCTGTCGATACTGTATTTAGATAGAGGGAAGTTTACGGTAACATACGTAATGCATAAAAATGCTAATGATCATAGATTTGCTGCCTATTTTGAAATTGGAGCTATGTATAAATTGTAATGGCATTTCATTTAATAATTTAAATCAACAATATGATGGAGGCTGTAGTAACTAATATGGTATTTTTTTTTTTTCTCTAATGGAGCATTTTTCTATTGGTATCATAACTAATCTATTGATAGATTATCGATTTTCATTGTTGTTTGGTATGTACAGTGTGTCATATTTTCTGTTTACAGTCATTTATATCATAAAAGTCATCTGAAAGCAGTTTCTGTGAACTTGTCATCGTTTTCCAATGTCATATTATACTGCCTATGTATACTTGTCGTCCCACTTCTGAACTCCAGAAGAGAGACATCAAACTGATTAACTATTATACCTTTTTTTTTTTTTTAATTTTTGGGCGAGGTAACAGCTAACTTGCACACTTGATCCCAGATTTTATTGCTTAAAATGCTCTTTCTCGCTTATATTGTTGCCTTCCATAACTTCAATTAAGTTGAACTTCCTTGTACTCTGTAGGAATGTACTCAGATTTGGTTGTCTTGGGTTTGAATATTTAATTAGAGTTGAGGTTAGGAATTTTATCAATCAGACCCACCTTGGGTTTAGCCGATCATATTTTTACTCGATATGAGTGAACTGGGCTGACTCAGGTCACCTTTATTTCCTGGATCATATTAGATCCATTTGAGAATCTGAATTCCACTTCTTTCCAATGTACTTGCTGAAAAAAAAATAGTATTAATTAATGATGACTAGTAACTCTTTAGAGTTAACACAAATGCAAGCATTTTTGGAGAATTTATGTTTTTATTTTCGGGTGGAGCTCAAGTGGCATAAGTAATTTGATTAGACAATGGAGACATTGATATGTTGTCAAGCATGCTGTTAGATTATATTTACTGGACTCAGATATTATAACATCAGGTTTGTTCTTAAAAAAAGAAATTATAAAGAATAACCATTGGGAGATGTGTTGTGGTATCTAAAACCATGTTTTAAATCTATATTTCCTTTCAAATTTCACAAACATATGATTAATTGTTATTCAATTTTTTGCTCGTGCATTAGTTTTTGCTAATTCTTATGCATGTTAGCATTCTTAAAAATGTTGAATGAGTTTGGGCTGCTCCTCTTTCTAACAATCTGTTATAATTAACTCTTTCCTTTTTTTTTTGTGGCATTTGTTAACTGTGTCATTTTTTTTTAACTTAAGCCAGTGATTGAAAACTATACGATGTTTACTCGTTTTTATTTGCTGAAGAAAGAAACTACAGTTGACGAATAATTTATTTACCGAATAAAAGTGCATAATTTTCCCAGGCTCACTATATGCTTGGGCTCGCACTTTTGCAAAAGAAAGAGTATGCGGAAGGTGTCAAAGAATTGGAAAAGGTATATGAGGTTTTATTTTCTGATTTGTGAGGTTTTATTTTCAATCTACTCTATATACAATAAAATATTTGTCCCGAGCCTTTGTTGTATTTTCATCGTCAAAAAAGGAAAAGAATAGGGAAATAAAAGAAAAATGGGGGAAATGCCTACAATTTGTTGAGTATGATCGTGTATATATATATATTTTTTTACTTAAATGTGATGTAATTGCCATAGGCATTGGATCTTGGGAGGGTAGCAAATTCAAAAGGGTACATGGTAGAAGAGATATGGCAAGAGCTTGCACGAGCCAAATACTTAGAATGGGAACATGAATCAATCCAGCGTTCGTGGGAGCTTCAAAGCTTAAAGTAACCCTTTTTTTTATATGTTATTTTCATTATTCCAATTTTTATGAATTAGATTCTTACACAACACATGCCGATTTCTCAATGGCTATGACATATATATGTATTACAGACAAGCATGTGAGGCAGCTCTGAAGGAGAAACATTTCCTCGATGGTTCTCAAACAGAAGGTTTTGTAGATGAACAAGAAAAGTTGTATCGAAATCAATTGGAAGCTTTAGACCAAGTATTTAACAAAGCTGCCGAAAACGACACTCCAACAGAGGTGGGATTATTAGGATTTTTAACCCCAATAGCATTTATTGTAATTTCGATATTCTTGTAATTTCCTTGCTTGATTTGTATTTGCGTTTTTTTAACAACAATGAGGGTTTCAGGTGCCTGACTATCTGTGCTGTAAGATCACTTTAGACATTTTTCGCGACCCGGTAATTACTCCTAGTGGGCTGTCATACGAACGAGCTGTAATCCTAGAGCACTTGCAAAAGGTAAAAGTGTGCAAAATTGCTCTTCTCGTTTATGTTATTGTTAAGATAGAAGGGTAAATTGATTTCAAAAATTGCCTCTTAAATCTCAGGTGGGAAAATTCGACCCTATCACTCGCGAAACTTTATATCCATCTCAGCTTGTACCAAATTTGGCCTTAAAAGAAGCTGTTAGAGGGTATCTGGATGAACATGGCTGGGCTTATAGGATGGATTGACATTGGTATGGCTTCTTTGGCTTTGAGAGCCTTTTTTTTTTTTTTTTAATTGTGTCCCTCCGAAAAAATTGTCGACAATCGATAGTTGTTTTCAGATGGGTCGAGCAAGCACTCTAGTCCGAAATCTCATGATTGTTGGAACTACAGGTGTTATATGGTTCCCTTTTGAGTTTGTACAGTGTTTGTAACATATCTGTGTCTGGAGATGAAAATCTGATGTTAGTTTGCTCTGGTGGAGTTCTTTTTTTATTGTGGGTTTTTTTCTACCAATTGGGGCTCTCCCCTCACCGGTCTTAGCCTGCCGGATATAACTCAATCGATGCGGTTCGTCCCCTTCTGTTGTGAAAGAGGGGCATTTAGCTGAAAAGGTTTTATTTGTTATTTTCTAATAAATAGTAATCTCTATATATAAAAAAGATTTGTATTTACTTGAAATAGAAACTAAACTCATGAACTTTTTAAAACTACTGAACTTGGTAATTTTTTTTGAAAATTTTCAAAAAATCCCGCCCTAGAAATTAATATATTTTATGGTGGAGTTTGATTATCTGTTGTGAAATTGGCATAAAAGGTTTATTTGTGAATTTCAAATTAATATATTAATTATAATTATTAGGTTGGGCTTGGTTAAAGAAAATTATCATTTTCATTTGTTTAGCCAGTAATTATATCCAAAATGAAATAAATTTTACAAAAATGCTATTCATTTCTTAATCTTTCTCTACAAATCCCACCAATACAACTAAAAAATAAAAATTGATAATTATTATATACTTTTCACAGATTCCACTGGTACACTTGAAAAAAAAAAATAACTATTACCGTATGTTTTGTAAAGAAAATATAACATATCTAGTATTTATTTCTAAAAATTAATTTTATACATTAATATTTATTATTTTTATGTCACGTGAGCGTTAACTATATTCATTTATAATCTAAAATTTATTACTTTTTATTTTTATTTTATTATCTTATTTTTTTTAACGAAACTTTTTTTATATCCACTCTCAACACCGGTCTATTTATACATGAAACCAGATAGCTCCATAGCGTTTTTGTAGTTACGTATTTCTTTTATACAGTTATCCTTTCTTTCGATAATTTAACTATTTTCTCTCGTTCGTATTGTAATTATTCATTTTGCATAATTTAGGGTGTCGTATATTATATAAGTGAACAATTGTTTAAAATGATAAATAAGTGTAAGTACAAAATTATACCTAGAACAACACTTATTTATAAAGAGTGAGATTTTATTATTGTTATTATTATTATTATTGTTTTATTATTATTATTATTATTATTATTATTATTATTATTATTATTATTATTATTATTATTATTATTATTATTATTATTATTATGAAATCAAAATGATTACAAAAAATTGGAGGGGAGCCGAGATACTATCTAGGCCAAAACAGTTATTTATTATTATTATTATTATTATTATTATTATTATTATTATTATTATTATTATTATTATTATTATTATTATTATTATTCCATCTATCAAGCCAAAACATCAGGTTCGGTTGTAATAATGATCTCTTTATTTATTTACTAGTATGTGGTGTGCTATGCACTGGACAATAATTATAATTGAATGTATTAAAGCAATGAAGCAATATTGATTAGTATAAAAGTAGTTTTAAATATTAATAATTATTTATTAGTTTATTGTATGATATATATAATAATTTAATATATAATTTTAATGTTTATTTCTCTCATTATAAAATAATTGTCATTTTAGATCATGTTTATAATTAAGGATAATGAAAATTTAACATATTTAAATACTATCAATAAGTATCACATAATATATCTCTCTCTCTCTCTCTTACCAATACTATGTTACAATATATCAATTTAAGTGTACCATTGTGATAAATATCATAATTGTTTTTCAATTTTTATTTTGTAATTATGTTTGCAATCCTACCGTGCATATTAAAATGAAATATATTTTTATAAACGTTTTTTAAAGACCCGTATGGTTTGCTACCAAAATAATAAGAAATTGCAATTATTCGTAATTAATATGAAAAATCAATTTTTATTACGATAATTATCACAATATAATTTTCATAACTGATCCACTTTATTTATATAGAAAAGCCGTGAAATTAATCGGATTGCACTATTTACAACAGGAATGTATAATTTAATTTATTTTTTTTAATGAATATTAAAGTAAATTTTACTATATTTCCTTTAATAGTAAGTCAGTATATTTAATTACAAAGTCAAAATTATCATTTTAGATTATTCAATTTCCATCATGAACTTGTTAAAAGTTACTTGATATTACAATTTACAAGTCCAACATCCTCCCCCCTATATATTAATACAGAATGCGCTGAGCCTACGTGGCTGCTTCTGGTGCTTCGGAATCCTATGTGGCAAAATTACATGCTTCGTTATTAGGCTTGGGTAAATTTTAATTTAATTCCAAACCAAAAATAATTAGGTTCGGATTACCATAAATATGTTGATTATTTATGGTCATGTTACATATATTAATTGTATCTTAATATCATTCCTTATTATAACTATTGAATTGTATATATTTTTTAAAAGTTAATAACTTTTGTAGTTTTTATCAGTTTTACATATGTAATATATCAAATTAATCTTCTTTTGATGAGCTTCGATTTAACATCCATATTGTATGTATAAAAAAAATAATTTATATTTATCTTTATAACAATAATAAAATTATTTTTAATATTAATTAGAAAAATAAAATTATTTATCAATTAATATATTTATATTTCAAGTAGTTATATGATATAAGTTATAAAAACTAATATAATATAACACATATAAGTCACAAGTAACACATATCATTCTAATATATATAGTAATATATTTTTTTTTTTGTAAAAAAGTAAACTAAATTTAATATAATTTTCTCATTAATTTTAAAATTTAAGAATAATTTTTTAACAAGCACCCGTGTAATACACGGGTATTGTACTAGTTAATGTATATAAAACAAAACACAATAATTGGTGATGGGAGAAAACTGATAATATTCATCACAAGAAAATTACAAACACGTTATCTACCGAACAATTTAGCTAATTTCAACCTTTTTCCACTTTGAGTGCTTCCCCTGTTTGAGGTAACAAAAAGTCTTTTATTAGTCTATTGGTCTATTGAAAAGAATTAGGCACCAAACAAAGTTCAGTCGGTGATGAGAATCTGAAAGATCAACTAATGCTCTATTTTAATTATTATTTTTTTCTTGAAAAGGACTAATGAAGTTTCTTCTTTAAATTCTTTGATCCCATTAACAAAGTAACAAAAGTTGGTCATTTAGAGTACCAATTACATGAGCAAGTTCAAAAATAGTGATATAATTATTTGATTTTCAAAGGGTCTAATGCACATAACTTGAAGGAAAATGATGTTGAAACTTATGAACGTTCCGAGACAAAGGCTTTTGCCTCAAGATAGGAAATAGAATAGTAACAAATTGGATGAGGGATAATTGATTACAGATTTTAATGACCCACTTAGAAATTTGAGGACAACTTTTGCCCCTAGTATCACGATCTTTATCGAAGTTGCAATTTGATCATGATCATTTTACTTTTGCAAGTTATATCACAATTTTTACTTTGTTGCAAACAATTTAAAAACAGTCATAGAAAAGTTTATGTGGTCGAACAACAAATTGAAGATTGTGATAGTCTGCACGGGATATTCAAATCGGTGCACCAATTTACAACAAAATAAAGATTGTGATATAGAATTGCAATCCTCGAAAAAAGTTATGATATTAAGGGCAATTTTGCCTAAATTGAGTGTCTAGAAAATATGTAAGAAACCCATTTCACTTAATTAAAAAAGAAAAATGCTGCATGTACATAATAAATGTACATAGAGGTGTACATAACTCTCACATGATGTGAGGTCCATCTGATTTTTTTATTTTTGGTGGGTCCCAAACAATGTGAGTATTATATACACCCTTATATACACTATTATGTACTTGTAGCATTACTCATTTGGGCATACCTCAACCAAATGTGGGACTTTATTATTGTCCAAATTTTGGGGATTATTTATTTTAGCAATTTAGGTGGACCATAAAAGCATAGGCTACACATCAAACATGACCAAATTCTTCCCATTCGTCCACCAATTCAATTCATTCAATTATTAATCACAACCTATTAGTTTTTGGCATCACCATCCCTGACAAAATTCTCACTTTGTGATAGAGAACATAAAATAAATATAGTGGGAAAAAAAATGAAGTACAACAATAAGTGTGAGTGACAAATATGTGTTCAATTATGTTTGCATCATCTCATATATGTGCTTTGAGACGACGACAACAACATAGTCTTTTAGTCTCAAACAAGTTGGGGTGAGTAAATCACAACAACAACATAGCCTTTTAGTCTCAAACAAGTTGGGTGAGTAAATCACATTTTTATTTTATTTTTTTTTGACGGAAACGAGTAAATCACAAATTCACAATGCAAAATTTTTAAGTAAGACTGAAAAAAGTCGCTTGAGAACTTAGCATTCAGATACAGAGTACACTGTATAAGACAAACTTATTTTTATGGATGAGACAAGCTTGCAATTCCTTTACATTTTACCTTTCTATCATGTACCACACCAGAAAATCTACAATCTTCCTATAAACAACTTCAAAATCTTCAATAAGGCCTTACTTACTGCACAGAAGATTACAAACTATCAATCAAACACACCTAACACATGTTCATGAAAACAAGAGGTGGAGAAGAAGAATATACAAATACTTTGGCAGAGTTGCCTCCGATTTTCTTTCACGCCGTATGAGTAACGTCGAAAACCCTATTCATCCTCTCGAGAATCCCACTAGCCTTCCTCCGAGCCCGTGAGGTCCCGTTTTGAGCAAGCCAAGATATTGTGCCACGCCTTTTCTCCTCTTCCCTAATCTCCCTCAATTGAGATCGATCACCATAACAAATAGCGTACAAAATCGCAACACAATTCTCCTTATTGCGTGCGCACGAGCTCTCCTGAATAATCCCGAGCAGGCAAGAAACCCCACCGAGCTCAACTATTTCCTCAATCGCCCTTTGGCTCGTCGACAACATGGCAACAATCGACAGTAACTCGTCCACATGCACTCCATCCATAATTTTTCTCATAATCACACGAACCGCGCCACATTTAACCGCCCTCGACTTGTTCTCATGAACAATGCACAAATTAAAGATAGCCGAGGCAACATCGCGCACGGCCAAAGGGTGCCCCTCGTCCAAAAGCCCGATCAAGGGCCCGAACGCTCCCGAACGGCCTATCAAGACCTTGTTCGGATCAAGGGCCGAGAGGGTGAAAAGGGCCGCGGACGAATTTGCCCTCGTCTCGATCGTGTTCTCGGGTTTCAAAGACTCGACAAGGAGGGGCACGGCGTCGGGATTCTCGGCCACGAGCTTCTTGTTGCTATCGTGGATCGAGAGGTTAAGGAGGGTCGTGACCACGTCCTCACGAAGGGCGGGGCCCGTGGCCCGTGCGTTGGGCCCGAGGAGCGGTGATAGAAGTTTGGGAATGGAGTCGGGGGACTCGCCAAAGAGGGCTCGGAAGGGGGGCGATTTCTTGGTTAGTAAGCGGAGCTCTTTAGCGGCCTCCTTACGGTCGGGTGGGGCCGGAGAGGATATTTTTTCGAGTAGGGAGAGAAAATGGGTTTTGTCGGCTTCGGTTGGGGCTTCGTCATCTATGGGGGCAAACGGGTCGGGTAGTTTGAAGCCGTGATTTTCACACCATTGGGAAACTAAGTCTCGGATTAAGTGGTTGGGTGTGAGGATGGTGTGGGAAAGCACTTGCTGGGTTTTGGGGCACGTTCTGTTTCCTGAGCCTAACCATTTCTGGATGAAGGGGCGATCAAAGGTCTGTTGAAAATTTTGTGAAGTATTAAAGAATGTCAATGTAGCAAAACAAAACAAATACAACAATTCACAAAAACAAAATTATGTTTCTAATTCTTAAAGCGGTTACTTTTTGTAGTTGTCAAACATAAAAATTAAAAACAAAATAAAGCTGTTATTTTTGTGTAGTCCTCAAACAAGAAAAACCACAAAACTTCATGCATATCAAAGCATCTAACTAGTTTGGATTTGCTCACCTGCCCACGGTGGGCAGTGCCCACCACTTTGTTTTACATGAAAAACGTATTCTGAGAATACGTTTTTCAATTAAATTTAATTGAAAAACGTATTCTCAGAATACGTTTTTCATGTAAAACAAAGTGGTGGGCACTGCCCACCGTGGGCAGGTGAGCGGCACTGCTAACTAGTTAAATACTTCATACCTAAAAAAAAAATGAGAAAAAAAAAGAAAAAAAAAAAAACTAAAATACTCAAAACAAAAATACTTCCAATAACCATCAACTTCCAAATTCTAACTCATACCAGCTCCATATATTTAATTCCATATGTTTGATATGTTTTGGTGTCTAATATATTATTTATTTTCTTTTAAAATTTTATCTTTTATTATTTCCTAAACTTGGAATAATAAATAATATTGACAAGCTAAAAATAATATATTAAAATAACACATGAAAATTAACAAAATACACTCACATATATGCTAAGTGAATGCATTTTTTTTTTTTCTAGATTAGTTAATTCATATATTTTTATATATTTATTTGGATTTTGTACACATACGAATTATTTATTAATAATTAAATTTTATTACATACGATTTCCATCAAACAAAATATGAGTAGATTCTAATTTAAATATTTATAAAATATGTGGATAATATTGAAAATTAGTAAAAAGTAACGTGAAAAAAGAATATTTCAAAAATATTAAATCAAATGAATGTTTGCAAAATTACCATATAACGTGACAATTACCACAAAATGAGTTCGAAAATGATTTTTCATCAGAGATTGTCTTACACTCAAATCTAAAACAAAAATCCAACTATTTCACAGCAAAATAACAATTACGCAAACAATCACAGCACACAAAATAAATTAAAAATAAAAAGTAAAAAAAATCAAACAATTAAGTACCTGACCGGACGCAATTATCACGGGATCCCTCATTAGCTCCTTCGAAAGCGGGCACTTGAACTCCTCCGGCGCCGGCACACCGACCATCCCACCACAATCACTACGAACGGATTTCTTCAACTTTAATTCCCTGAGAGCAAACAGAACCTTCTGAGCTCGATCGATCGCCGCCGGACTGAAATCCTCGTCGTCGGCGATCAGCCTCGCTAATTTCTGCAGCTCCTTCTTCAGCTCCGCGGATTTCGCCGCCATGGCCTCGTCCCCTTCAGCCACGCCGCTCTTCGCCATCAATTCTCTGTTTTGTTTTCTCCTCTTCTGATTCAAAATTCGCCTTCAAAATAGCAAACCGAAAGGGGAAAAAAAAAAGAAAAAAAAAAAAGGAAAAGTAGCCTCAATAATTATTGAATACTAATTTATACAGGCGGCGGCTGGCGCTATTCACTTTCCGCCATGATTGTGCGGGTGTGTGTGTGAAGCTTCAGAATTCGAAATGTTTTTTTTTTTTTTAATTTC